TCGGGCCCGCTGCCGGGGCCCCTCCCCGCCGCCCCACCCCGCGCGGATGCCGAAGGTGAAGGCGCTGCAATGCGCCCTGGCGCTGGAGATCCGCTCTGTGAGTACCGGCGTCTCCTGTGCCCCAGGACGACTCGGGGGACGCCTCCTTCCGAGCGCCTCCGAAAGCCCTAATCACCCCAAAGCCTCCTTTACGCCCCTAATCACCCCTAGGGAGCCGTGGCCCCTGGTCTTCTTCCATCTCGAAATCCCGAATTCCTTCCCACGTCCACCACGCAGAGGCCAGACCCCCAGCCCTGCGCTGCTCGCCCTCCTCGCCCAGCCTAACTTCCAGGTTGTGCTTTCGAGTCATTTCCAGCACGCCAGAGTTCCTCCCCGCGCCAGCAACTTTCAGTGCGTTGGGGGGCGGGGTCTTTCCGTACCCATTTCCCTGCCCCTGTCACTAGGTAGGGGTTCACCGCCTCGCCACTCCCCCCACCTGCAGGCACAGCTTGCAGACGGGTTTCCAGGCTTCCCTCCTGGAGGGACCTTGAGGCTCAGGCTTCGAGGTAGAATCCGCACGGCCAGCAACTGAAATGTGGCATCGTTGCAACTGCTTTGGCGGCCTCTCCCGGGGCCTCATGGGGAACCCCTGACGCCTCAGAAGTCATTTCTGTCCCTTCCCGAGAAAGGAGCCCTTTTCGCCTTCCAGTTAAAGCTGCCAGCTTTTAGAGGAGAACTCCTCCCTCTCCAAACCTGCCCCTCCACCAGGTCTCTCTTGATTGATGGCTCTTTCCCCAGCCTCGCTGGAAATCCGACTAAGAAAGAGAACCCCACACAAACCCCAGGGAAGGGGCTTGGGCCTCTCCATGTTTTAAAAACCCCGCCCCCTCCCCTTCATTCTTTAGGGAGCCCTCTTGTTCTCCAGACTAAAGCTCCAGCTCATCTCTTGCAGGGCAAAGCCACCCCCCAGCCTTTGCACACCTCATTTTGCACTGCAAATACAACCCTGCAAATACAGACCCTCCGTCAGTGTGTTTCCCTCTCTTCCTCTCTAAAACCTCCCATCTTAAAACTCAGTCATCCCATACAGCAAACTGTGGGGTGAGGGTGTTCAGATATTCACCAGGACTCCCGGGTGCTACGCCAAGAAGCCCTCCTATTTTCCATCCTGCACTCCAGCAGGCGGGCCTTGGCTCCCTGCATCTTCCCCTTTCCCTGCCCTTCTCCATCTCGCAGGCTGCTAAGCCCAGGGAAGTCACAGAACTGTTTCAGATCTTTTGTTCTGTCTTAAAGGAAGCCTAGGTGGGGCAGAGGGTGAGGCCGGGCAGGAGAAGAAAGTTTCTGGGACTCTCGGTTTTGTTCAGGCTTGCAGAGATTTTACACGGAAACTCGATAGCTCTAGCTTTGTGTTTTTGACCCACAGCTGCTTTGGGGCAACTTTTTGTGAAGAAAGGTTTGTTTAGCTGAAGACTCCTTGTAGCTTCCTACTGCTTGGCCTGGGGCAGTTAGTAAATCTGCTTCCAAGTTCAGCCTGAGCAGACTGTTATTAGCTGTTTGTTCCCATCTCTGCTAACCAATGGGGTTTAGCCACAAGGTCTGGGCAGCAGCCTGACAGGCTGGCTGCCACTTCCCTTCCCTCCCATTGGCAAAACGAACCTTCTTAGAGGAAGTGGGGAGAGTGTAACTGATTACTGTCAGAAGAGGTTCAGAGAAGTACATTTTATTTCACTACCCTGCCTCCTCCGTGTTAGTTACACTGCAGAGAGTGAATGACTATAATGGAGTGCATTATTCATAAAACCCAAAGAAAACTAAGCAGGAGAAAGGATCTTCTTCTTTTCAACAAACATTTTAGTCACAGAATTTTATAGTTCTAAGAAAAATACTATTGGACTTGTTCCCTTTATTATAGATGAGAAAATCGAGGCTGAGCACGGCCAAGTTAATTGTGTATGGTTGTACAACTTTTAGGGACAAATCTGCTTCACGATCCCAGTTTCAAACCCTTTAAAATGGCTCGGATGCTCTGAAAGAGCTAAAAAGATTATTAGCAACCCTACAAGTTAAACAAGCTTGATTAATGTGGCTTTAACTGAATAGAAGAATTATGTTGTTGTAGATATTTTTAACATCTCCTGTTTGATTTTAATTTTTCTTATTTAGTTAATTTTTTACATATAGATGGTATAAAGATCAAAACCATTACATATAAAATGATATGCTTAGAGAAAATCTTGTAAGATCTGTCTCCTTAAACCTGTTTCCCATTTATCCTCATCTGCTATTGAAAACCATTTTTATTAATTGTCATATAAACAGATATACAAACTCTTGCTCTTTTTCTCTCCTGCATGCCATTTTTTTATGCTTTCCTTTTTTTTTTTTTGGAGAGGATTTTGCCATAGGGTTCATGCACTCGCCAGAAAGAAAGCGAGAAATCACCTCCCGGGAGGATGGCCACGTCACAATTCCTTCTCCTCTATTCTCCTCTTGGGATCTTGGGCACGCAAGCACATGCGCTCGGTGTGAGTTTAAGCCGCCAGGTCCAGGACTCAAACCGTGGTCGACTACATGGGAGTTTAGCAAAATAGCCATTATGCCAACTGCTGGTCCCTATACTTTCCTTTTCATACACAGTAGGTATCATGTTATATAAAGTCTGCACTTTTTTTTTCTTTTAAATTTAATATATCAACATCTCTCAAGTATGAAAATCGACATCTTCATTTCTCTACAATTTTTAAGTGAAAAATTTTAAATATGCAGAGCAGTTGGAAGAATAACTCAATGAATAACTTTACCCCATGAACTATGGAGTTGTTAAACTATTATTTTGATTTATCTGTGCATAAGAGGTCTTCAAAAATTTGTCAGTGGAGACCAGATGATGGCACAGTGATAAAATGTGACACTAGCAAGGCTGACATACATGGAAAGGTTCAAAATTCACACCCAACACCTTCCAACATACCCCAGGAACTTGCATAATCCAGGGCTGGCTGAGGCTGAGAATGGATCATGGTGTGGAGACCTTGTTAGAGGTGCATTCATGCATGCACTTTCTATTTCATAGAAATAAACTCTGAAAAAAAATCTTCATTGACAGTGTATATTATAAAAAATATGTTTGGATATAAAAAAATTGGAATGAACATAAGCTCATATTTTAATTCCATTTTTCCACACACTTTTTAAAATTTTTTTCATAGGGCATGTGCCATTGCCAGAGAGAAAGATACACTGAGAGGAAAAGTGAGAAGCCACCCCAAGTAGGAATGGCCACTCTGTAGTCCCTTCTTTTCCATTTCCCTCTCAGGATTTTGGGCATGCATGCACACATACCCAGCATGATTTTCAAGCTTCCAGGTCCTGAACTCTAACTGTGGTCAGCCATGGGGGAATCCAGCACCTTAACCACCACACTTCCTGCTGGCCCCTGCACACACAAAGTCTCCATCATCTGTATAAAGTAAACAGGTTTTTTTGCTGACAATTCAAAAGTAAATTGTTGAACTTACTTGACATTACACTCCACCCCTAAATACTTTGGAACACATCATTAAAAATAAAGATTGTGTTCTATTATACCTAACCACATTACTATTATCACACCTAAGAAAATAAGTGATTTTTTTTTTTGAGAGGTCTTTGGTGTATAGGGTGCGTGCACTCACCGGAAAGACACAGAGAGACAGACAAACAGCGAGAAATCACCCCCTCCCCTCCAGGGGGGATGGCCATGCTGCAGCAGTCCCTTCTCCTCCCTTCACCTCTCAGGATCTTGGGCACGCATGCACACGTGCTTGTCATGAGCTCAAGCCACTGGGTATGGAACTGGAACCATGGTTGACTACATGGGAGTCCAGCGACATAGCCATTACACTAACTGCTGGTCCTGAAAATTAGTGATTTCTTAATATCTAGTCCATATTCAAATCTTCTCAGTTGTCCCCAAAATGGTTTGTATGATTAATTTTTTTCAACCGGGATCCAATCACTGTTTATATGTTGCATTTGATCATGGAGTTGCTAGGTCTTTGTATTTCATTTTATTATAAAGTAATCTTTTCATTCCCACAGTGTTCTTTTTCTTTCTCAACGGATTTTTTTTTTTAAGAGAGGTTTTTTGCTATAGGACATGTGCACCCTCTGAAGAGACAGAGAAAGACAGAGAGCCAGAAAGCAAGAACTCACCACCGGGTGGGAGGATGGCCACACCACAATCCCTTCTCCAATCTCCTCTCGGGATTTTGGGCGTGCACACACATGCACCTCATGTGAGTTTTAAACCACCAGATCCAGGACTCCAACTGTGGTTGACTGTATGGGAGTCCAGCGATGTAACTATTATAGCATCTGCTGGTCCCTTTCCCGATGGATTTTGATAAGATCATATATAGCACATTTCTATTACCTTGTGAAATTTTCTTTTGCTCCCTCAAGCACTATACACAGTGAACTACTAATTTTTGTCATTAAATTAGTTTAACAGTGCTCTAACTTCACATTGGAGCCAAGTAGTGTGTAATTTGTGTCTGACTTCTTTTGTTTAGCAAGTTTTTGGGATTAATCCATGCTGTATGTATCAGTATTCCTTCCTTTTGAGTGGTAGTCTATTATATATGTATAGCACAACATGTCTGTCCATTCTCTCTTTTTTTAATTGACAAAAATATATTTACAGTGAACAAAGTGATGTGAAATGAGTAAATTAAACTAGATTATCATGTGTGTCACCTCACACACTTATTTCTTTTTACTTGTTTATTTTTTGTTGGAGAGATTTTTGTTATAGGGCACATGCGCTCGCCAGAAAGAGAGAGACAGAGAGACAAAAAGCGAGAAATCACCCCCCGGGGGGGGGGTGGATGGCCACACCATAATCCCTTCTCTTCCATTCTACTTTCAGGATCTTGGGCATGCATGCACACATGCCTGGTGTGAGTTTAAACCACTGTGTCTGGGATTTGAACTGTGGCTGATTACATGAGAGTCCAGCAACATAGCCATTACACTAACTGCTGGTCCCAGTAGTTTCAAGTAGTTATTGGTATTAACCATAGCCACCATGTAGCATAATAATTCTTCAGAACTTATTAATGCTAACTGAAACTTTGC